AGAGAGAGAGAGAGAGAGTTATTGGAGGTAAAGAATGAACGAGTTAATTAAGAGGTTGGATTGATGGATGATTTATGGGAAATAAAAAGGACAAAGAAAATAAAGTATAAGGCACTGATTGGCATGAGGACATGTTCAATGATGCGGGCTAGCCAACAATGCTGATGGTGCAGGTGAGTTGGAAAAGGAAGGAGACAAGGAAGCCTACATGGGTTGTCGGATCCTCTCATTGTCAAGTCGGTCACCATTGTATTACTGGATTCCCATCTCATATCATTGAGATTTATGTGACAACAACTGCACCATCTACCATGGCTGCATAATGATTCTTGCTAGTTTAACCAACCATATTGATCATGAACCATATGTTACCTAAAATAATTTACATTTTACATAAGCAACTTCATACATGCTATGATCTTCAAACTTGTTAGAAATTATGAACTCCAAATATATGATAAATAAAATATGCAAAGCTTATATAGACTAATATGAATGCCATCGTGATGCCTCCAACAACTAGCCATGTGAATGAAGAAACAGGAAGGGTGAGTGTGTCGAGTTAGAAATAATATTATCTTAAGGCAATACAATAAAGAAATCTGGTGATCATTGTTTTCTACTTTTTGGGAGCAAATTTCTTGCCAAGTTGGTAAATAATATGCTTGATTCTCCACCACATCCCCAATCCTTTCTTAATAGATTCTTTTTGGAGTGTTCGATTGGATCAATTTGGAATCTGTGGTTGGAAATGTTAGGATCGGAGCGGCACTAAGAGGGGGGGTGAATTAGTGCAGCGGATTAAAACTTCGGTTTTAGAAAAATCTTTCGTACGATAAGAACGGAACTTGAAAAGCTTAACTTGAAAACGTATTCTTAGAGTTGCGCAGCAAAGGTAATAAGGAACTAATGCATGTAAGAAGGTTTGCAGTAATGTAAATAGCGATAATGAAATGCAAACCAGAGATTACGCCTGATTTTAGAGTGGTTCGGTCAAATGACCTACATCCACTTGCGAGGCCCCTCTTCGATGAGACTCCCACCTTCCACTAGCAAATCTTTTGAAATGGAAGGGTAAGTACCCCTCGTACAACCTTTTACAAGCAGTTCAACCTCTTACAAGATTTCAATAAGAAAGAAGGAGGAGAGCTCTCTAGCAAATTAAAAATAAGACTTGCTAAGACTTTCTAAGACTTCTCTCAATCAAATGCTTCTCAAAAGTTGTAATCTCAGCTGAGATTTGAGGGGTATTTTTAGGCCTCAAGAGGATTCAAATTTTGGGCTCCAAAATTTGAATTCTCTTTGGGTTCCCGATGCTGGCGGTGCCACCGCCCAGCCAAGCGGTGCCACCGTCCAGCGTTCGGGTGCTGGGAGGTGCAACCGCCCAGCCCAGGAGGTGTCACCGCCCAGCTCTCGGGTGCTGGGCGGTGCCACCGCCTGGCTCTCCGATTTCACTGGTTTGGCTTAATTTTAGCCCAAACCATATCCGACTTTGGGCTCAGTTGGCCCATAACCAGGATATAGGATTATCTCTTAATCCTAATCCTAATTACAAGTGAACTACATAACATAAACACATCCTAAGCAAGCTTTCAACCGTGAACGTCGAGTCTTGTTTCGGCGAGCTTTCCGATGAACTTCTTCCGACGGACTCCCATCAAGCTCCCGATCTTGTGATGACTTTAACGAGTAGCCGAGCCTTCTCAGTGATCTCCGTGAACCTCCGACGATCTCTTCGGCGAACTTCCGAAAATTCCGATAAGTTCCCGATTTCTTCTCGGTTGGTTCCGGCAGCATCTCCGACGATTCTTCGGACTCTTAAACGTACATCGATCTTGACTCCGGTATTCTTGCTTTGTGTTTTCTGGTTATCGTAGTTAATCCTGCACACTTAACTCAATAATATGGATTAGATCAATTAACCCATCAATTGATTTCATCATCAAAATCCGAGATTCAACAATCTCCCCCTTTTTTATGATGACAATCAATTGATGATGGAGTTAAACATAACTCCCCCTATCTATATGCCATATTATGAGAAGATGAAAACACTTGAATTTCATCCATAGAATTCAAGCATAAACCGATAAGTTCTAACCGTAGAACTTACCGTCATTCTCATTAAGCAATAGTAAATACAAAACTTCGATGAAAATCATGATAAGAGACAATTTTTACTACGATAGAAGATAAAGATTTTCAACATGAATTTCATGATGTAAATGTAAGGCATGCCTTCAATATGATAAATCAATCTTGCGATATTTTCAAGGATTTTGCAAGGCATATAAGACATTCATATCACACAAGTTTTTGTAATTCATATAAGTCATGCTATTGTTATGGTGTAAGTCATCACTTAGTCATCACTTCTCCCCCTTTGTCATCAACAAAAAAAGACAAGCCAGCTAATTGATGATCATAGAAAAAAGGTTTAGCATTTAATAGGAACCAAAGTTCATCATTCAAATTTGCCAGAAATAGTTTATCCAAAAGACATCATCATTTATGCAGATCAACACAGTAGTTATCTAAAAGGAAGGATCAGTTATCGTTCAATCGATGACAAACTTTGAACTTGTTGTTAAAAGCAAACAGAACAGAATAAAAAGATACATCAGTTTAATCCTTAGGAGGTAATCCACAGTGCTGATACAGGATATCTATTTTTTCATTCATTTGTTGTAGTGTCTTCAAAATTTCAACTTGTTGATTCTGAATTTGTACTTGCTGAGATTTGATCTGAGACAGTTCCGCCATAATGAGATCTTCAGAGGAGGAAACAGGAGCTGAAGGTGCTGT